GAGGAAGGAGTAGATTCAGTTGTAAGTGAACATTTAAGAACACAGTACTATGCTTTCTTGAATATATTCACTGATGGATCTAAGGACCCTAAAACAGCGAGGACAGGTGCAGCTTTTAGTGTTCCTGCGTTTAAGGTGGCAGTGACAAAAATGTATCTGTTTACACAATGGAGTTGCTGGCCATACTCTTGGCTGCAGAGTGGGTGGAGGAGATGAGGCCAGACAGGGTAGTTATCTGCTCTGACTCCTGTGCAGCACTGATGAGCTTAAATTAATTTGTGTCTCGAAGCAGAGTGCTTGTATAGGGTGAGACAGAATACTGTACCTAGTTAGCTAGCTGAATAAACTAAGTTAGTCTATTCCTAGAAAACATTGAACCGCTGTAGTTTACAACAATTATAGTTTCTGAGGTGGAAGTTGGGAGAGTTATATTTGGGTGTTGTGGTGAGGGAGGCCCCGCTCTCTCCTTTCCCAGATGTTTAGTTCATTTAATTCCGATCTCCTTTGCATTATTGTAGCCATTTTCTGCAGCCTGTCAACTATGCCTCTGTCTATCCCTGTTCTCTCCTCTCCGCACAGGCTATACAAACGCCTCACACCGCGTGGCTGCTGCCTCTCTAACCTGGTGGTCCCTCTACCCACGTGGAGTTCCAGGTCTCAGGCAGCCTCTGGAACTGCCGTTCTGCTGCCAACAAGGCAGAGTTCATCTCAGCCTATGCTACCCTCCAGTCCCTCGACTTCTTGGCGCTGATGGAAACATGGATTACCACTGAAAACACTGCTACTCCTACTGCTCTCTCCTCGTCTGACCATGTGTTCTCGCATACCCCGAGAGCATCTGGTCAGCGGGGTGGTGGCACAGGAATCCTCATCTCTCCCAAATGGACATTCTCTATTTTTCCCCTGACCCATCTGTCTATCTCCTCATTTGAATTCCATGCTGTCACAGTCACTAGCCCATTTAAGCTTAATATCCTTGTCATCTATCGCCCTCCAGGTTCCCTTGGAGAGTTCATCAATGAGCTTGACGCCTTGATAAGTTCCTTTCCTGAGGATGGCTCACCCCTCACAGTTCTGGGGGACTTCAACCTCCCTACGTCTACCTTTGACTCATTTCTCTCTGCCTCCTTCTTTCCACTCATCTCCTCTTTTGACCTCACCCTCTCACCATCCCCCCCTACTCACAAGGCAGGCAATATGCTTGACCTCATCTTTACTAGATGCTGTTCTTCTACTAATCTCACTGCAACTCCCCTCCATGTCTCCGACCACTACTTTGTATCCTTTTCTCTCTCGCTCTCCTCCAACACTACTCACTCTGCTCCTACTCAGATGGTAATGCGCCGTCGCAACCTTCGCTCTCTCTCTCCCACTACTCTCTCCTCTTCCATACTATCATCTCTTCCCTCTGCTCAATCCTTCTCCCTCCAATCTCCTGATTCTGCCTCCTCAACCCTCCTCTCCTCCCTTTCTGCATCCTTTGACTCTCTATGTCTCCTATCCTCCCGGCCGGCTCGGTCCTCCCCTCCAGCTCCGTGGCTTGATGACTCATTGCGAGCTCACAGAACAGGGCTCCGGGCAGCCGAGCGGAAATGGAGGAAAACTAGACTCCCTGCGGACCTGGCATCTTTTCACTCCCTCCTCTCTACATTTTCTTCATCTGTTTCTGCTGCTAAGGCCACTTTCTACCACTCTAAATTCCAAGCATCTGCCTCTAACCCTAGGAAGCTCTTTGCCACCTTCTCCTCCCTGCTGAATCCTCCTCCCCCTCCCCCCCTCCTCCCTCTCTGTGGATGACTTCGTCAACCATTTTGAAAAGAAGGTTGACGACATCCGATCCTCGTTTGTTAAGTCAAATGACACTGCTGGTCCTGCTCACACTGCCCTACCCTATGCTTTGACTTCTTTCTCCCCTCTCTCTCCAGATAAAATCTTGCGACTTGTGACGGCCGGCCGCCCAATAACCTGCCCGCTTGACCCTATCCCCTCCTCTCTTCTCCAGACCATCTCCGGTGACCTTCTCCCTTAACTCACCTCGCTGATCAACTCATCCTTGACCGCTGGCTATGTCCCTTCCGTCTTCAAGAGAGCGAGAGTTGCACCCCTTCTCAAAAAACCAACACTCGATCCCTCTGATGTCAACAACTACAGACCAGTATCCCTTCTTTCTTTTCTCTCCAAAACTATTGAGCGTGCCGTCTTTAGCCAACTCTCTTGCTATCTCTCTCAGAATTACCTTCTTGATCCAAACCAGTCAGGTTTCAAGACTGGTCATTCAACTGAGACTGCTCTTCTCTGTGTCACGGAGGCTCTCCGCACTGCTAAAGCTAACTCTCTCTCCTCTGCTCTTGTCCTTCTAGACCTGTCTGCTGCCTTTGATACTGTGAACCATCAGATCCTCCTCTCCACCCTCTCCGAGCTGGGCATCTCCGGCGCAGCTCACTCTTGGATTGCGTCCTACCTGACCGGTCGCTCCTACCAAGTGGCGTGGCGAGAAGCTGTCTCCGCACCACATGCTCTCACCACTGGTGTCCCCCAGGGCTCAGTTCTAGGCCCTCTCCTATTCTCGCTATACACCAAGTCACTTGGCTCTGTCATATCCTCACATGGCCTCTCCTATCATTGCTACGCAGACGACACACAACTAATCTTCTCCTTTCCCCCTTCTGATAACCAGGTGGCGAATCACATCTCTGCATGTCTGGCAGACATATCAGTATGCATGACGGATCACCACCTCAAGCTGAACCTTGGCAAGACGGAGCTGCTCTTCCTCCCGGGGAAGGACTGCCCGTTCCATGATCTCGCCATCACGGTTGACAACTCCGTTGTGTCCTCCTCCCAGAGTGCGAAGAGCCTTGGCGTGACCCTGGACAACACCCTGTCGTTCTCCGCTAACATCAAGGCGGTGACCCGATCCTGTAGGTTCATGCTCTACAACATTCAGAGAGTACGACCCTGCCTTACACAGGAAGCGGCACAGGTCCTAATCCAGGCACTTGTCATCTCCCGTCTGGATTACTGCAACTCGCTGTTGGCTGGGCTCCCTGCCTGTGCCATTAAACCCCTACAACTCATCCAGAATGTCGCAGCCCATCTGGTGTTCAACCTTCCCAAGTTCTCTCACGTCACCCAGCTCCTCCGCACACTACACTGGCTTCCAGTTGAAGCTCGCATCTGCTACAAGACCATGGTGCTTGCCTACGGAGCTGTGAGGGGAACGGCACCTCCGTACCTTCAGGCTCTGATCAGTCCCTACACCCAAACGAGGGCATTGCGTTCATCCACCTCTGGCCTGTTGGCTCCCCTACCTCTGCGGAAGCATAGTTCCCGCTCAGCCCAGTCAAAACTGTTCGCTGCTCTGGCACCCCAATGGTGGAACAAGCTCCCTCACGACGCCAGGACAGCGGAGTCACTCACCACCTTCCGGAGACATTTGAAACCCCACCTCTTTAAGGAACACCTGGGATAGGATAAAGTAATCCTTCTAACCCCCCCCTTACCCCCCCCCCCCAAAAAAAAAATAATAATAATAATTGTAAAGTGGTTATCCCACTGGCTATAAGGTGAATGCACCAATTTGTAAGTCGCTCTGGATAAAAGCGTCTGCTAAATGACGTAAATGTTATGTATTTGTGATGTTCTTCTGGGTACCAGTTCATGTGGGAGTAGAGGGGAATGAGGAGGTGGATGTTCTCTCCAAGCAGGCTTTTAAACATCCTAATGTTGAGATGGAATTGTCAATCAGTAAAGCAGAAGCCAAGGGGTTGATAAAAACAAGTGTTTAAAAACAAATGAAAAGAGTTGTGGAAAAGGGAGGTAAAGGGAAGACACCTGTATAAGATTCAGGAAAAGGTGGGAGCAGGGAGGTCCTCAGGCCGAGAGAGAAGGGAGGAAAGTGGGACACACAAGACTCCATAATACATTGAAATTGGTAGGAAAACATCCTACTGGGAGGTGTGATCATTGTCAGGAGGAGATGGAAACAGTGGAACGCGCTCTATTTCAGTGCCAGCAATATGGGAGGGAAAGGGAGAGATTATTACATTTAAAGTGTAATGGGGTTGAAGAGCCAAGATTAAGTGAACTGCTGGGGAAGTCTTCAGGGGATGTAGTATTTAATTATGTATTTTGTTTCCTTAGGGAGATGATAATATTAGGTAGGATTTAGTCCTTCCCTGTCTCTGGTGCACACTCCAGTCCAGTTGGTGGCGGTAATGCACCTTAAAGTTGGTTGTCAACCGCCATATAAAATCCACAAGACAGAAAAAGCACCCTGGCCCCCTTGATTCAGAGGCTGATCAAATCAGCAGTGTTGCCAAATTAGCGACGTATCGTTCTTACTCTTCTCAACGAGCAGCGTGTGCTGCCGTGGGCTCCACCACCGTCCCAAAGCACACACAGGCGGCCCAGTCCTCGCGCAGCAGTCCCTCCCAGCTGCAGTCAGAGCAGGAGATGTTCACCCCTCCGCGTCCAGACTGCAAATGAATCGCGCATGCGGGAAGCCGCCGCTGGCTGATCCCGCCCTGTCTTACATTCAGGTCGGAAAGTAAATGTAAAACATTTTAAAAAACAAGAATCGACAGAAGAAAGTTCATTTGTAGTTCTAAACATATTTAGGGTGTTTTTTTACTCACTTTTTGTCTCTCCCACGACGTTATTCCTCTCTCCTACAGCGTCCATCACAATTACATACACATGGCCAATTATGCAAATTAGGTGATGGCGTCATTTAGCGACTTCTAGCGACTGTTAGGACAGCCAATAGCTACTTTCCTTACTGAGGAGTTGGCAACACTGCAAATCAGGAGGATTTAGCTAGCTAGCTAGCTAACTAACTAGAAGGTAGTGAAGCTAGCTGAATTTGAGGCCACATATTTTTATTTTGCCTGTGCAGAACATTGTTTGTTAGGTAGCTACTTAGCATTCTGGTGATACATATAACTAACTAACTAGCTAGCATAGCTACCTAACTTATCATAGCAATCCACATCCACGTAATGGCAGGAAACTTGAAAGACAAAGAAGCTTATCAAAGACTGAACTTTCTGTATCAGGTACGTTTTATTGATTTCTAGTATTTTATCGTTAGCTAACTGATTTGCTCAGATAGTGGTTTCATGTGATATTGATTTCTTGCAGGCTGCACACTGTGTTTTGTCTCAAACCCCTGAGAATGTGGAATTAGCTCGTTTTTACTGCTTCACTCAGAAGACCATCGCTAAACGTTTGGTGCTGAGACAGTGAGTAGACTATAACAATATCATAGGAACTCTTCTAAGAAAAAATATGCTCTTACATTTGCATCAATGAAGGTTTCAACTTGCATGTCATGTCAAGAATACATGACAGAAATGATCAGTTTGAAACGTCTGCTAAAATGATAACTAGGGCATGACTAGAATGTTACTGACATCTTTATAGAGACCCCTCAGTGAAAAGAACATTATGTAAGAAGTGCTGCTCTTTGCTGGTTCCAGGAGTAACTGCCACAGCCAGACAGAGAAGTAAGTATATAACTAAATAGAAGGCTAATCAGCCACCTAATCAAAGCCAACACATTGTTGCTGGCTATTTACAGTGGGGAAAAAAAGTATTTAGTCAGCCACCAATTGTGCAAGTTCTCCCACTTAAAAAGATGAGAGAGGCCTGTAATTTTCATCATAGGTACACGTCAACTATGACAGACAAATTGAGAAAAAAAAATCCAGAAAATCCCATTGTAGGATTTTTAATATATGTATTTGCAAATTATGGTGGAAAATAAGTATTTGGTCACCTACAAACAAGCAAGATTTCTGGCTCTCACAGACCTGTAACTTCTTCTTTAAGAGGCTCCTCTGTCCTCCACTCGTTACCTGTATTAATGGCACCTGTTTGAACTTGTTATCAGTATAAAAGACACCTGTCCACAACCTCAAACAGTCACACTCCAAACTCCACAATGGCCAAGACCAAAGAGCTGTCAAAGGACACCAGAAACAAAATTGTAGACTTGCACCAGGCTGGGAAGACTGAATCTGCAATAGGTAAGCAGCTTGGTTTGAAGAAATCAACTGTGGGAGCAATTATTAGGAAATGGAAGACATACAAGACCACTGATAATCTCCCTCAATCTGGGGCTCCACGCAAGATCTCACCCCGTGGGGTCAAAATGATCACAAGAACGGTGAGCAGAAATCCCAGAACCACACGGGGGGACCTAGTGAATGACCTGCAGAGAGCTGGGACCAAAGTAACAAAGCCTACCATCAGTAACACACTATGCCGCCAGGGACTCAAATCCTGCAGTGCGAGACGTGTCCCCCTGCTTAAGCCAGTACATGTCCAGGCCCGTCTGAAGTGCATTTGGATGATCCAGAAGAGGATTGGGAGAATGTCATATGGTCAGATGAAACCAAAATATAACTTTTTGGTAAAAACTCAACTCGTCATGTTTGGAGGACAAAGAATGCTGAGTTGCATCCAAAGAACACCATACCTACTGTGAAGCATGGGGGTGGAAACATCATGCTTTTGGGCTGTTTTTCTGCAAAGGGACCAGGACGACTGATCCGTGTAAAGGAAAGAATGAATGGGGCCATGTATCGTGAGATTTTGAGTGAAAACCTCCTTCCATCAGCAAGGGCATTGAAGATGAAACGTGGCTGGGTCTTTCAGCATGACAATGATCCCAAACACACCGCCCGGGCAACGAAGGAGTGGCTTCGTAAGAAGCATTTCAAGGTCCTGGAGTGGCCTAGCCAGTCTCCAGATCTCAACCCCATAGAAAATCTTTGGAGGGAGTTGAAAGTCTGTGTTGCCCAGCGACAGCCCCAAAACATCACTGCTCTAGAGGAGATCTGCATGGAGGAATGGGCCAAAATACAAGCAACAGTGTGTGAAAACCTTGTGAAGACTTACAGAAAACGTTTGACCTGTGTCATTGCCAACAAAGGGTATATAACAAAGTATTGAGAAACTTTTGTTATTGACCAAATACTTATTTTCCACCATCATTTGCCAATAAATTCATTAAAAATCCTACAATGTGATTTTCTGGAAAAAAAATTCTCATTTTGTCTGTCATAGTTGACGTGTACCTATGATGAAAATTACAGGCCTCTCTCATCTTTTTAAGTGGGAGAACTTGCACAATTGGTGGCTGACTAAATACTTTTTTTCCCCACTGTATTTGTCATTCTAGTCCTTTTCAATACAAACACAGATGAAAACAGAGTTATGGTTGTATCTAGCAGTTGGAAACATTCGTATCATCCTCCTCTCAGGATGAGATTTTGAAAGTACTGAGTGGAAGTCCAATGTCATTACATCTAACCCATGCTTTATTCTCTTAAGGGACTAAGCACAGAAACCGCATGACAGTGCTGCAATGTCTAAGCTGTGGGCAGAGCAAGAGGTTCCTTAACAATCCGGAGCATCGCCTGTGGGTGGATCAGCCTGAGGCCCAGCTGGAGAACCAATCACAGCCAGGTGAGGTTACCCTGGGATAACTCAACTACATTGTAGTTATGGTTCATATTGGGGGGATGCGGGACAATTAAGTACTGTCATTCATATGTGAATTAGAGTTTTTAATAGTCTGACCGCGTGTCGGATGCCTTCTCAAATCCCCCTGAATAGTCTTGTACGCATGGCACCGGTATAGATTGCATGTTGGCTATGTGGAGAAAGACTCAGGAGTCGGGAGCTTGGGCTGTTATTTCCGACGCAGGTGTATTAAAATTCAGCTTCACATTTGTTAAATTTTCCTCTCAAAAGTTAGCTGTTTCTTTATGCCATTTTTCATCCATCTCAGAGGGAGGCCATGCTGTTTAACTTTTGTTTTGCAGAACAAGGTCACTCCAGTAAAGAGTTGCAGAAGGAGAAAGCTGATGGACCCGTATCTCAGAAATCCTCTACAGGGCCTTCCTCTACCCAGCACCAGGTGTCTCCATCCAAGCCCAAAACCTGAGCCCTGTGGCCTATGTAGCCTATTCACAACTGGACATAGCTTCTTGTGTGGGTGGCATTGACACATATTTTCAACAATTCCAGATTTCTTTTATTATGAGCATATTTTTATTTTTTATTTTTTGATGGTGACAACCTATTAGCATTACATCAGTGGTATTTCTGTAACGGATTATGATTGTAATGGTTGAGGTTGGTAAAAATGCAAAAAATGGATGGATTGAGTTTTGTGTATACCTCAACTTGTTCACAATGTACAGTAAGTTCAGAAACGACAACCAATGTTTACATTTTTTTTAAATAAACATGTTTATTTAAAATAGTTATTTTCAATTGATGTATTACTTCTGAAAGAACACAGGTTGTACATGAGAGATAGATTGTATCATAATTGGCTGTTGAATATAATGCTATGTGCATAATGAAATATCCCAATAAGAACGAAATTGAGCAGTGTATTCACTTTTTTTTTTTATCTCCCTCCCCCTTTGGCACCCGGAAGCGGGTCTTCTGGGAATACAGCAGGTTCTTGGTAAAAATCCTGGGGATGTGGCCCATGTACAGGAGAAGGGCAAGGGTCATTCCTGAAGAGAGGATATCTGTATTACCAGCTTGATAAGCAGTTATGCTTCATTGTCAAGCATAAAGCCTTTTTTATCAGGGGTTTGTATGTAACAGTTTATTTTTTTACTTACCAATAATGGGCCCAAGCCAGTAGACCACTGAGTACTCCGTAAAGGTGAACCCAGGACAGTAGAAGGTAAGGCCATAGGCCAGGGAGGGGTTCAGGAAAGCCGAGGTATAATCACTGGCTGAAATACAAAGAAAGATGAGTTCTCCGATCATGAACTTAATGCAGCAATCGTCTGCAAAACAGGTTTTTCTCTGATGCACAGATATAGCACAAAGAAAACAGCATATAGGCCTATGCAACTTTAATGATGATCTCTTTACTGAAATCTCTAGGTTAGACGCATGATGATTGTCATCATGGGCTACTTGCCTGCATGAGAGAAGAAGGTGAGCACAGCTGCAACGAGAGGAACCCGAATCAGCGCAGAGCGACATTTCAGGCTGATGTATATCAGATAAAAGATGAATGCACACACACACTCAGAAAAGACCCCCTGCACTAGGGAGACACGCAGGGCTGTGCTGCACTCCCTTGACATCAGGTTCTTAATCATGTGCATGTCATTGAGCTCCAGGGCCCAGTAGTAGCCAGCCGCAAGCAGGGCCAGGTGTGCCCCCAGGAACTGAGCAGCCAGAGCCAGCAGAGTGGGCAGAGTATGGGTCTCCAGCAGCAGGAAATTCATCAGAGTCAGGGAGGGGTTTCCAGTGGCTCCAGCACAGATCACACCATGAGTCAGCAGCACCAAAAACAGTATGGTTAGAGTCACATCCGGACCCAGTCCTCCTGCCCACTCGCCCACCTCTATAATGGTCTGCACCTCCAGCCTGCATGCCACCAGCACAAATGAGGCCGGAAACTCTGCTGCAACGCTCAAACGAGGCCATTTTCTGAAAAATACTGTAAAAGCTCCACCAAACGCCACAACAGCGAGAAAGTAACCAAGGGAGACATTGAGTCCAGACATAGTTAGGTTAACATATGCTACTACACCTTGCTGGTTCTGCTCACACAATGTATAACTTGTTGCTCAGCTTGCTGTCTGTGTGATTGTGACAACGTGGCATTTGGAGAAGCGTTTTTCTTATCACAGAAACACCAGCTTTTCATCTCACACCACCTGCCAAAATACACACTTCCCTTTTCAAGGTCAGGGAAGTGGCTTTGCCCCATTGATAAGGGCAATGGACTACTGTAACTTAAACCAAATATATAGTTTATTGACACCAAGAAAAAAAGTAATATTACCTGGTCTGATCCCACTAAAGAATATACCTTACTGTGATTCAGTTTCTCTCCTCTTCTTACCTATGTGTATTAGTCTCAGGCCCAGACCCTAGGCAACTAAATCGGAACATTGAAACATTGTGGGAGGCAATCCGGATGTTTAGTAGAGACTGTGTATTGGTTGACTGATGAATGTACAGTATCAGTAAGCTTATTTTCTTGGACCATTCTCACATGAAATTGGCTTCTTAGCTATTTCATGTGATTCTTATTTATTTAGCTACTTATTATATTTATTCTGCCATATGTCAATCTATGTTCATTTGACATTTTAGTCATTTAGCAGACCAATGCAGACACTCTTATCCAGAGCGACTTACAATATAGGGAGTGCATACATTTTCATACTTTTTCATTCTCTTCAGCCTAATCCTCCTTAACCCTTATCTAACCCTGTACTTACAGGAATAATTGCATTGTAATATAAGGGCACCTTTAAGGTCCGTGCTATCCGGGACCCAGTGGTGGAAAAAGTACTAAATTTTCACACTTGAGTAAAAGTAAAGATACTAAGTAAAAGTAAATTACTCTAAGTAGTGATTTACTGTAGTGGCCTAAATCACTTTTTCCGTATCACTTACAAAACTATATCTATTTCTACAGAGGGTTTTTCAACTGGATGCAATGGAAAGACCTCATCAATACATCTACATGGATGAAGCTGGGTTTAATCTCACCAGAAGGAGAGGCCGTAATGTGATTGGCCATCGGGCCATTGTTGGTGTTCCTGGGCAGCGTGGTGGCAATGTCACATTATGTGCTGCCATCAGCAATCATGGGGTTGTCCACCATCATGCCAACCTGGGGCCCTACAACACTCACCAGCTCCTCATTTTCCTCAATCACATGCGAGATGCTTTGTTAGGGCAGCAGGATGAGCATCCCATCTATGTTGTTGTTTGGGACAATGTGAGTTTTCACAGAGCCCTCCAGGTTAGAGAGTGGTACAATATGAACCAAGGTTTTATCAATCTTTGCCTTCCACCGTACTCCCCTTTCCTAAACCCCATTGAGGAATTATTCTCCTCATGGCGGTGGAAGGTATATGAACGCCAACCTTACACCAGGGTAAATCTCCTGCAAGCCATGGGACTTGCCTGTGGTGACATAGGTGTGGAGGCATGCCAAGCCTGGATACGGCATGCCAGGGGTTTTTTCCCCCGTTGCCTGGCCAGACAAAATGTGGCCTGTGATGTGGATGAAGTCCTGTGGCCTGACCCAGTACGGAGACATGATGCTGTGGCTGAGTAATGCACTTATTTGTATATTTTTGTACTTTATTTTTACATGGGCTTACTGTACACAAGTGGAAAACGCATAAGATTTCTGTTTGTTTTTACAAGTGCTACATGTAAATGCACAAGATTTCTGTTTTGTCTTTTTGTACAAGTGCTAAATGCACAGTTTTTTTTTTTTTTTTGCAACATGCATTTAGCCTACAGTGAACAATAAACATTTATTTCTCCAGCTTCATGTCCTGAGCATTGTGTTTTCTATTTTTCTACGTAGTGTTTAGTGACTGTTCAGAAGTGTTTTTTATTTTGATTGACTCGGGGCACGATTTGACAACATAGTTCAGTTTTGAGCACAGATTGAACTGTTTTGAGGTGAAAGTTTGGTTTTGCAAGAAGAGTCTGAGGTTTTGTGAATGTAGCTTGAAAATTGGGTTTTGTGTTCACAGTTAAGAGAAAAGGAGAGCAGCTTTCAAGAAATGTGTCTTAGCAATCGAGAAAAACTGTAAGTAAAACAGATGGCACAGTTTTCTTGTTTTTTAAATTTTCGATTAGCCAGGGGCACACTCCAACACTCAGACATAATTTGCAAACGAAGCATTTGTGTTTAGTGAGTCCGCCAGATCAGAGGCAGTAGGGATGACCACAGATGTTCTCTTGATAAGTGTGTGAATTAGACCATTTTCCTGTCAAAATGTAACGAGTACTTTTGGGTGTCAGGGAAAATGTATGGTGTAAAAAGTACATTATTTTCTTTAGGAATGTAGTGAAGTAAAAGTTGTCAAAAATATAAATAGTAAAGTAGAGATACCCAAAAAAACTACTTAAGTAGTACTTTCAAGTATTTTTTACTTAAGTACTTTACACCACTGCTGGGAACCTTGGGAAGTCCCTACAGTACCCATTGAAGTTTAAATGTAAAATGGTCAAGGTTAGTGTTATGGTTAAGGTTAGGGACCTCCCAAGGATCCCGGATAGCACTGACCGTAATGTTAAGGCGTGTAACCAAAGTGGCTGACTTATTCATAGACACTTGTTGCCCCCCTTCTTGCATAATTAAATTGTCAGAACAATTTGGACGTGTTACTGGTTCAGACCATTCCATCTTTTTAAAGGGGGAGTACATCTGCCGGTTGGAGCGTCGTTGCCGCAGTAGGCAGCTTGTCAGTCTCATTTCTGAATGTCGTGAGTTCGAGCCTCACACGGGGCAGATGCTTTGCATAGCTATGGTCTGGCTTTATTGAGATCTTAATTTATTATTTCACCTATGAATGCGAGCACAAGTTAATACATCGATAAATATGATATCAATCCTTGAGGTTACGGCATGGCAGAACTGTTTTTACAACTTTAATTCCACTTAAGACCACACGGTGGGCTTAGTGTTCCATTTTAGATAAACCGCTGCAGGCTAGACATGCATATATACAGTGCATTCGGAAAGCATTCAGACCCCTTAAATGTTTCCGCATTTTGTTACGTTACAGCCTTATTCTAAAATTGATTAAATAAATAAAAATCATCATCACTCTACACACATAACGACAAAGCAAAAACAGGTTTTTAGACATTTTTGCAAAAATATAATAAAATAACAGAAATACCTTATTTACACAAGTATTCAGACCCTTTGCTATGAGACTCGAAATTGAACTCAGGTGCATCCTGTTTCCATTTATCATCCTTGAGCTGTTTCTACAACTTGATTGGAGTACACCTGTGGTAAATTCAATTGATTGGACATGATTTGGAAAGGCACACACCTGTCTATATAAGGTCCCACAGTTGACAGTGCATGTCAGAGCAAAAACCAAGCCATGAGGTCGATGGAATTGTCCGTAGAGCTCAGAGACAGGATTGTGTCGAGGCACAGATCTGGGAAAGGGTACCAAAAAATGTCTGCAGCATTGAAGGTCCCCAAGAACACAGTGGCCTCCATCATTCTTAAATGGAAGAAGTTTGGAACCACCAAGACTCTTCCAAAAGCTGTCCGCTCGGCCAAACTGAGCAATCGGGGAAGAAGGGCCTTCGTCAGGGAGGTGATCAAGAACCCAATGGTCACTCTGACAGAGCTCCAGAGTTCTTCTGTGGAGATGGGAGAACCTTCCAGAAGGACAACCATCTCTGCAGCACTCCACCAATCAGGCCTTTATGGTAGAGTGGCCAGACGGAAGCCACTCCTCAGTACATGAAAGCCCACTTGTAGTTTGCCAAAAGGCACCTAAAAGACTCTCAGATCATGAGAAACAAGATTCTCTGGTCTGATGAAGCCAAGATTGAACTCTTTGGCCTGAATGCCAAGCGTCACGTCTGGAGGAAACCTGGAACCATCCCTACGGTGAAGAATGGTGGTGGTAGCATCATGCTGTAGGGATGTTTTGCAGTGGCAGGGACTGGGAGACTAGTCAGGATTGAGGCAAAGATGAACGAAGCAAAGTACAGAGAGATCCTTGATGAAAACCTGCTCCAGGGCGCTCAGGACCTCAGACTGGGTTGATGGTTCACCTTCGAACAGGACAACAAACCCTAAGCACACAGCCAAGACAACGCAGGAGTGGCTTCGGGGACAAGTCTCTGAATGTCCTTGAGTGGCACAGCCAGACCCCAGACTTTAACCCTATCGAACATCTCTGGAGAGACCTGAAAATAGCTGTGCAGCAACGCTCCCCGTCCAACCTGACAGATCTTGAGAGGATCTGCAGAGATGAATGGGAGAAACTCCCCAAATATAGGTGTGCCAAGTTTGTAGCGTCATACCCAAGAAGACTCGAGGCTGTAATCGCTGCCAAAGGTGCTTCAACAAAGTACTGAGTAAAGGGTTTGAATACTTATGTAAATGTCATATTTCAGTTTTCATTTTATTTATAACTTTGTTAAAATGTCTATCGTGTGTAGATTGATGAGGGGGGGGGGGGGGGCACAATTGAATCCATTTTAGAATAAGGCTGTAATGTAACAAAATGTGGAAAAAGACCAGGGGTCTGAATACTTTCCGGAAGCACTGTGTTGGTCCCATGTTTCATGAGCTGAAATGATCCCAGAAATTTTCCAAATGCTAGAAATACGTATTTCTGTCAAATCTTGTTCACACATTTGTTTACATCCCTGTTAGTGACCATCTCCTTTGCCAAGATAATCCATCCACCTGACAGGTGTGGCATATCAAGAAGCTGATTAAACAGCATGATCATTACACAGGTGCACCTTTTGCTAGGGACAATAAAAGGCTGCTCTAAAATGCGTAATTTTGTCACACAACACAATGCCACAGAATTCTCACGTTTTTAGGGAGTGTGCTATTGGCACGCTGACTGCAGTAATGTGCACCAGAGCTGTTGCCAGATAATTTAATGTTCATTTCTATATCATAAGCCGTCTCCAACGTCGTTTTAGAGAATTTGGCAGTACATCTAACTGGCTTCACAACTGCAGATCATGTGTATCCATGCCAGCCCAGGACCTCCACATCTGGCTTCTTCACCTGCGGGATCGTCTGAGACCAGCCACCCGGACAGCTGATGAAACCGAGGAGTATTTCTGTCTGTAATAAAGACCTTTTGTGGGGGAAAACTCATTCTGATTGGCTGGGCCTGGCTGCCCAGTGGGTGGGCCTATGCCCTCCCAGCCCCACCCCTGCCCAGTCATGTGAAATCCATAGATTAGGGCCTAATGAATTTATTTAAATTGACTGATTTCCTTATATGAACTGTAACTCACTAAAATTGTTGAAATTGTTGCACGTTGCGTTTATATTTTTGTTCAGTATGTCAATCATTATGACTATAAATTGTGTAATTAGAAAAACTAGTTATTATAACTCCAATTGTTGTGTAATTGTTTTAAATGATCGCACAATGATTCGCCAAAACCTACGAACAAAGAACCCAATAGGCCTACAGTGCCTTCAGAAAGTATTCACACCCCTTTACTTTTTCCACGTTTTGTCGTGTTACAAAGTGGGTTTAAAATGGAATTAATTGTAATTTTTTGTCAACAATTTCTTTAAACATTTAATTGAAAATAAAACACTAGTATATTTTAATTAGATCATTATTCAAACCCCTGAGTCACTACATGTTAGAATCACATTTGGCAGTGATTACAGCTGTGAGTCTTTCTGGGTAAATCTCTAAAAGCTTTGCAAACCTGGATTGTACAATATTTGCCCATTATTCTTTTCAAAATTCTTCAAGCTCTGTCAAGTTGGTTGTTGATCATTGCTAGTCAGCCATTTTCAAGTCTTGCCATAGATTGTCAAGCCGATTTAAGTCAAAACTGTAACTAGGCCACTCAGGAACGTTCAATGTGGTCTTGGTAGGTAACTCCAGTGTATATTTGGCATCGCGTTTTAGGTTACTGTCCTGCTGAAAGTTGGATTTGTCTCCCAGTGTCTGTTGGACAGCAGACTGATCCAGGTTTTTCTCTAGGACTTTGCTCTATTCCTTTTATTTTTATCCTAAAAAACTCCCTAGTCCTTGCCGATGACAAGCATACCCATAACATGATGCAGCCACCAGCATGCTTGAAAATATGTAGCGTGATACTCAGTGATGTGTTGTGTTGGATTTGTCTCAAACATAATGCTTTGTATTTAGGACAAAAAGTTTATTTATTTGCCAATTTTTTTTGCAGTATTACTTTAGTGCCTTATTGCAAACAGGATGCATGTTTTTGAATATTTTTATTCTGTACAGGCTTCCTTCTTTTCAGTCTGTCTTTTAGGTTAGTAATGTGGAGTAACTACAATGTTGTTGATGCATCCTCAGTTTTCTCCTATCACAGCCATTTAACTCTGTAACTGTTTTAAAATCACCATTGGCCTCATGGTGAAATCCCTGAGCGGTTTCCTTCCTCTCTGTTAACTGAGTTAGGAAGAATGCTTGTATCTTTGTAGTGACTGGGTGTATCATCCAAAGTGTAATTAATAACTTCACCATACTCAAAGGGATATTCAATGTCTGCTTACCAATAGGTGCACTTATTTCCGAGGCTTTGGAAAACCTCCCTAGTCTTTGTCGTTGAATCTGTGCTTGAAATTCACTGCTCGACTGAGAGACCTTGCAGATAATTGTATGTGTGGGGTAAAGAGATGGGGTAGTCATTCAACAATCATGTTAAACACCATTATTGCACACAGAGTGCAATTTATTATGTGCCTTGTAAGCATATTTTTACTCCTGACCTTATTTAGGCTTGCCATAACAAAGGTGTTGAATACTTATTGACTCAAGAGATTTCAGCTTTTCATTTGTTATTCATTTGTAACAATTTCTAAAAACATAATTCCACTTTGACATTATGAGGTATTGTGTGTAGATCAGTGACACAAAATCAAAATTTTATCAATTTTAAATTCAGGCTGTAACACAACAAAAAGTGGGAAAATTCAAGGGGTGTGAATACTTTCTGAAAACACTATATCATCAAGGTCAGGAATGTTTTTTTATTAGCTGTCTTGTGTGTGATGTTTCAGACCGAGAATTTCAATAGTGTAGGTTGGTTTGCACGGTGTGTATGTGTGCGTGTGTGATATATATATATATATACATATATATATATATATATATATATATATATATATATATATATATATATATATATATACAGAGAGAGCGAGAGAGAGAGCGAGAGGGAGAGAGAGAGAGAGTGCGCAGCTGTAACCTACCAAAGAACGGTGTTGCACTTTCTGAAGCGCATGGCTTTTAAGTGGATAGCCTACTGAGAGGGGGAATATCATGCGCTCTATTGAACAGACCCAAGAATATGAAATTCTAACAGATTGATGCCGTTGATAAGGACAGCTAATTTGTTTGGGGATTGTATTTGTCTACTTTCATAACCTATTAGGCTACTTTTACAAACGGCCATACCACTGCCAGGATACCTTCATAGTCTATCTGATTGAAATGGTGCAATGTTCCGAAGGATACTCCAACGCGTTGACTTTTGGTTGATTTGGGTAACAGTTGTACTATTTGGAGCTTCAGGTGCAGGAACGCACAGTTGCCATGAGGTTAAAACAGCTTTCCAATTGCGCCAGATCGGCTCGTTGAAATGGGTCCCCGAGGCACCTGGAACAGGTTAGTGCGCACTTGATCTAGCAGGTCCTAACACAATCTCTCTGCAGAGTGTCCAGGAGCCAGATTCCCGCCGCTTGTGCACCTGTTTCTTTTCCATAAGGTATTGATCAATCAAAATCATAGAAATGTACAAATTGTTTACATTATTGTTAAGTGTAATTTAGCCTGTTTATTTTAGATTAAAAAGGAAGTTCCTACTCATGTAAAAGCTTACATATGGTTCCCTGTGCTGTGAATGGGACAAATACACATAGTGAACAATGATGTATAGGCTATCTTCATTGGTAGTGACAGCAGTAATGTGCTCTTAGGATTGTTCACATTGTCAAAACTCGCACAAATACATTGCAAGCTTACTCAAGTTTTCTGTCTGATACTGAAATTAAATTTCCTTTCCACGTTAGTGCATGTCATCCACCTGATTGAAATCTATTTTTCGGCTTCATCAGACAGAGATATGCCAATGAACATTTTATAGATTAGGTGATGGATGGCAAAATGAGCAAAAACTGTGACATAGGCTACACTAAAGAAAGATTCAAGCAAAACTGCCTAGCAAGTAGGCCTAATAGTTAATGCTTTATCTTTGTGTATAGACCATGATTCCAAGAACTGGAGTGAGTCCCAAGGGAGGCCATCACTTATTTTTGTGCTTTTCAAATACTGAACTTATTATATGGATGCACTGGCCATAACAGTCATAATCAATAACATTGCAGTTACATCAGCTCATAATTTGGCAAACACCAAAAAAGCATTCACACAATTTCAACCAATGTTCAATGATTTTTTATAAAGGGTGTATAAACTAAACACTAACTGAACAGATTACAAACAACTTATAAGTTAGAAGCCCGTTCATAAATATGTTTAAGTATACCTTAACATGAAGTGTGACCAAAAACCATTTTGCAATTTAGTTTGGAGATAGTCTCATAATCAAATATCACATTAAAACCAAATAAATCATTTTTACTACACAGATGCACACAAATATTCTCTCTCTCCTCATCTGTATTGGTCAGGTCAAGTGACCTGAGCCCCAGGGGCCACAATAACTGAGCTGCGCGTTGTGTATGATCATCTACAGTACATATACAGGTCATTAGGTTTAATGGACTGCTTGTCCTGCTCGAACATCATGGCTATGCTTTATACTTCGCCTTTTATGGGGTACAAAATTGTTGTCTCAATGGCACACGTAAATAAAATAAAAACAAGAAAATTGTGCCCTCTGGTTTGCTTAATATAAGGAATTTGAAATAATTTATACTTTTACTTTTGATACTTAAGTATATTTTAGCAATTATATTTACTTTTGATACTTAAGTATATTTAAAACCAAATACTTTTAGACTTTTCCTTTTAGTATTTTACTGGGTGACTTTCACTTTTACTTGAGTCCTTTTCTGTTAAGTTATCTTTACTTTTACTCAAGTATGACAATTGGGTACTTTTCTACCACTGATAGAAAGTCTACACCTCCTTCAACTTTTTACATTTTTTGTTGCGTTACAAAGTGGGATTGAAATAGATTTAATTGTAATGTTTTGTCATTGATCTACACAAAATATTCCATAATGTCAAAGTGAAAAGAAAATTCTACACATTTTTACAAAGTCATAAAAATTGAATAACAAAAATATAGTCGTTGCACAAGTATTCACCCCCTTTGTTTAGGCATGCCTAAATGAGTTCAGAAGTCAAATTTGGCTTAACAAATCACATAATAAGTTATATGGATGTGTGAAATAATAGCGGTTTACATTATTTTTTAATGACTACCCCTTCCTCTGTCCCCCATACATACAACATCTGTAAGGTCCCTCAGTCAAGTATTGAATTTCAAGCACAGATTCAACTACAAAAACCAGGGAGCTTTTCGAAAGCCTCATAAAGAAGGGCAGTGATTGGTAGATGGGTAACAATAACAAATCAGACATTGAATATATCTTTAAGCATGGTCAAGTTAATAATTATATTGTGGATGATGTATTAAACCACTCAGACACAAAAAAGATGCAGTCGTCCTTCTGAACTGAGCTGGAGGACAGGAAGGAAACTACTTAGGGATGTCATCATGAGGCCATTGGTGATTTTAAAACAGCTACATAGTTCAATGGCCTAAATGAGAAAGTGAAAAGAAGAATACAAACATACAGAATAAGTGCAAGGCACTAAAGTAATACTGCAAAAAAAAACAAGGCAAAGGAATACACTTTTTGGTCTAAATGCAAAGCCTTATGTTTGGGGCAAATCCAACACAACATATCACTGAGTAACTGCCTCCTTATTTTCAAGCATAGGGAGTTTTTCAGGATGAAAAGAAACGGGATGGTGCTAAGCACAGGCAAAATCCTAGAGGAAAACCTGCTTCAGTCTGCTTTACACCAGAGACTGGATAGGAATTCACCTTTCAGCAGGACAATAACCTACAACACAAAGCCAAATCTACACTGGAGTTGCTTACCAAGAAGAGTGTTCCTGAGTGGCCAAGTTACAGTTTTGACTTAAATATGCTTGAAGATCTATGGCAAGACCTGAAAATGGTTGTCTAGCCATGACCTCCAACAATTTAGCAGAGGTTGAAGAATTTTGAAAATAATAATAAGCTAATATCGCACAACACAGATGTGCAAAGCTCTTATAAGACTTACCCAAGAAGACTCACAGCTGTAATCGCTACCAAAGATGTTTCTAGCATGTATTGACTCAGGAGGGTGAATACTTATCTAATCAAGGTATATTTGTGTTTTATTTTTCATAAATTTTTCTTCTACTTACATAGTATTTTGTCTAGATCATTGACATACAATGAACACAATAAAATGCAAAGAAATCCTAGGGGGGTTGTAGACTTTATATACAGTGGGGAAAAAAGTATTTAGTCAGCCACCAATTGTGCATGTTCTCCCACTTAAAAAGATGAGAGAGGTCTGTAATTTTCATCATAGGTACACGTCAACTATGACAGACAAATTGAGAAGAAAAAAAATCCAGAAAATCACATTGTAGGATTTTTAATGAATTTATTTGCAAATTATGGTGGAAAATAAGTATTTGGTCACCTACAAACAAGCAAGATTTCTGGCTCTCACAGACCTGTAACTTCTTCTTTAAGAGGCTCCTCTGTCCTCCACTCGTTACCTGTATTAATGGCACCTGTTTGAACTTGTTATCAGTATAAAAGACACCTGTCCACAACCTCAAACAGTCACACTCCAAACTCCACTATGGCCAAGACCAAAGAGCTGTCAAAGGACACCAGAAACAAAATTGTAGACCTGCACCAGGCTGGGAAGACTGAATCTGCAATAGATAAGCAGCTTGGTTTGAAGAAATCAACTGTGGGAGCAATTATTAGGAAATGGAAGACATACAAGACCACTGATAATCTCCCTCGATCTGGGGCTCCACGCAAGATCTCACCCCGTGGGGTCAAAATGATCACAAGAACGGTGAGCAAAAATCCCAGAACCACACGGGGGGACCTAGTGAATGACCTGCAGAGAGCTGGGACCAAAGTAACAAAGCCTACCCTCAGTAACACACTACGCCGCCAGGGACTCAAATCCTGCAGTGCCAGACGTGTCCCCCTGCTTAAGCCAGTACATGTCCAGGCCCGTCTGAAGTTTGCTAGAGTGCATTTGGATGATCCAGAAGAGGATTGGGAGAATGTCATATGGTCAGATGAATCCAAAATAGAACTTTTTGGTAAAAACTCAACTCGTCGTGTTTGGAGGACAAAGAATGCTGAGTTGCATCCAAAGAACACCATACCTACTGTGAAGCATGGGGGTGGAAACATCATGCTTTGGGGTTGTTTTTCTGCAAAGGGACCAGGACGACTGATCCGTGTAAAGGAAAGAATGAATGGGGCCATGTATCGTGAGATTTTGAGTGAAAACCTCCTTCCATCAGCAAGGGCAATGAAGATGAAACGTGGCTGGGTCTTTCAGCATGACAATGATCCCAAACACACCACCCGGGCAACGAAGGAGTGGCTTCGTAAGAAGCATTTCAAGGTCCTGGAGTGGCCTAGCCAGTCTCCAGATCTCAACCCCATAGAAAATCTTTGGAGGGAGTTGAAAGTCTGTATTGCCCAGCGACAGCCCCAAAACGTCACTGCTCTAGAGGAGATCTGCATGGAGGAATGGGCCAAAATACCAGCAACAGTGTGTGAAAACCTTGTGAAGACTTACAGAAAACGTTTGACCTGTGTCATTGCCAACAAAGGGTATATAACAAAGTATTGAGAAACTTTTGTTATTGACCAAATACTTATTTTCCACCATAATTTGCAAATAAATTCATAGAAAATCCTACAATGTGATTTTCTGGATATTTTTTTCTCATTTTGTCTGTCATAGTTGACGTGTACCTATGATGAAAATTACAGGCCTCTCTCATCTTTTTAAGTGGGAGAACTTGCACAATTGGTGGCTGACTAAATACTTTTTTCCCCCACTGTATGCACTGTATATTCATGTGTGGTATTGTATGATCACTGTGAATTTTGGAAAGTACCCCAGTGTTTTAACTGATTTATTTCAGTCTTCATAAGCCCCCTGTTCCTTTGTCCCTCTGCAGTGTCCATCACTTGTGCTGTGGTATTTTAATGTACAGTGCATGCATAACAACTTGTCCTTGGGGGAAAGTGTCACAGACACTGAATCCAGCCACAGCAATGCATTCTGGGACAAAGGAGGGCTGACCCCAACAGCTGAGGAGACACTGGGCTTTGTCTGTTAGCACCCAGAGCCCCTTTCCTTTCACTGCTGTCTGCCCTCTGCCTTTTGAAAGGTCACACACATTGTTTGCATAAGTTGGGTAGAAAGTTTAGCAGGTAGAGGAAGCACAGAAAATAGAATGAGATGGTCGTATTCATTTAGAGGTTGATCACATTGAGGGGTGGATGGGTGGGTGGGTTGTGGAAGATGTTACTCACCACTGTGCTGCTGATGCACAGTAGTGTAGGGCATGTTGTGGTGGTGGTGGGGATTGGGAAGGGGCCTGCTTTTCCTCGTCTCGTGATCCCAATCAGCTGTTCTTCAGCTTGGCTTACAGTAGCTTGTCAATGTCAGATTCCTCACACAGGAGAGGAGTACGGTAATCATGAGTCCTCACGCTTTCACTGCCTCTCAACCCCCTCTCAGGAGCTTGTTGTGAATGTGTATGACTGTGTCCAGTCCTCCTCATCGCTCAGCTCACCTCCATTTCTGTCCTCATAAGTGGGATTGAAAGATATGTGAGATGTACTGTTTTATGTTTAAGACTTACTTTTAAGTAATATGAACATGCAGTGGTTGTATTGGGGGCTTCAGAGCCTGAGAAAAGCCATACTTGCGAGGGCCAGACAGACATTGCTATTTCACACAACTGTGATAACATTTTGATACTTGAACAACGGAACATCCAGTGCACGTAAGTCTATGTCACCTGTCATCAGTCACATGATTGATTTGTTCACACAATGCTGTCATGATTGACATGTCCAATGATTTAGGCCTGGTTGAGTTTGTAAGCAAGTTAACTCTGGTGAGTTCAAACTCAGCTGCATCGCTCCGTTTCTCTCTGCATCTTCCTCTCTCTGCACCCTTGGAGCTCTTGTATCTGGACTTTAATTCAGCAAGGTCCGGCCAGATAGCCAGTCTATTTCTGAAGCTCTTTCTCTCTCTCTCGTTCCTGGCTCCACTTTCACATGCTGGTGTATTAGTTTCATATGGGAGATAAAGCTGATGGTGAGCCAGCTCGGGGGAGATGGAAGGGAGTGGGGAGGTGAACGAGGACATTGGCTAGAGGGGCTAAGGGGTGCCAGGGTCACCCTGGACCTCATCCAAATGAGATTGTATTAGGGGAATCTTTGCTAACTCAAAGGGAACTTGAATACAGTGGGTATACAGTATACACTGAGTGTACAAAACATTAGGAACACCTTCCTAACATTGAGTTGCACCCCCTTTTGCCCTCAAAGAGCCTCAATTCGTCGGGGCATGGACTCTACAAGGTGTCGAAAGCGTTCCACAGGGATGCTGGCCCATGTTGACTCCAATGCTTCCAACAGTTGTGTCAAGTTGGTTGGGTGTCCTTTGGGTGATGGACCATTCTTAATACACACGGGAAACTGTTGAGCGTGAAAAACCCAGCAGCGTTGAAATTTGTGACAAACTCAAACTGGTGCGCCTGGCACCTACTATCTACCATACCCCATTCAAAGGCACTTAAAACTTTTGTCTTGCCCATTCCCCCTCTGAATGGCACACATAAACAATCCATGTCTCAATTGTCTCTAGGGTTAAAAATCCTTCTTTAATCTTTCTCCTCCCCTTCATCTAAACTGATTTAAGCGGATTTAACAAGTGACATCAATAAGGGATCATAGCTTTCACATGGATTCAACTGGTTAGTCTATGTCATGGAAAGAGTAGGTGTTCCTAATGTTTTGTATACTCATTGTAGATGCCCATGAGAAATACAGTAAGTGTAGAGAAATAATAACCATTTATTCACTATTTATTTATTCAACTATTTGAGTAAGTATTATTAATCACATTTGGTCAAAGCTTCTACCACACTTGAACTATGTATTTCACATTCACACCTCAGTTGAGGTGTGTGTCATGTCAAAGATTGCCTATTATAATGACAAGATAGTCAAGTGACCACTCTAACAATGGAAATACATTTCCTCATAGATGAGAGGCAGGCGGGAGGAGACGAGATCAGGTGAGACCATTCTAGCCAATGAGAGGGCAGATATGCGTGTGACCAACAGGCCATAGAGATAGAAAGAGGACTCATCTTTGTAGCTGTGCCATTATAGTGTCTGTGACAGCATGGGCAGCACAATTGAGGTTATCTCCATTTTAAAGTAGTCGATTTTCTTCTTCTTCATTGGCTGATTGCTCCCAACTCATAGGAATCCCCACCCAGTTAACTACTTTAAAATGGTGAAAGACCTTCATTGCAATGTCCATGCTATCTCTATGACAACAGACACAACTCCGATATAAACTATTATTTTTTTCAAAGTTGCCGAAATGCCACGTGAATTCGTAACAACCTAACCAATACGAAACTTCTATAGCAATTACATTTTTTGTTGAACAAATTTGACACTTTCTCATAGACCTCTATACAGAAATTCCTCACTACATGGGCTTGTTTTTATGGACAGATGTTGGGCGGAGTAAAGACGCTTCGCCTCTTCCTCTCTAGTCATGCTCAGGTTTGTTGTTGTAATATGTTTCCTCTTCTTTCCCAGATGGTGAGCTGCAGATCTGCAAGCACCCAGGCCCGTCATGTTGCACACGCAAGATGGAGGAGAGTTACCAGGCAGCAGTGCGCAGAGAGACACTCCAGAACATCCGTTCCTACAGCTTTGAGCTCAAGTACCTAATTGTGGGCCATTCCTCTGCCTTCCAGGGTAAGGAGAGGGGGTGTCTGTGGGACAGAGCGAGGAGAGGGGCATGGGATGATGATAGAACAGATTCACTGAGAACCACTTCAGTGGCATTTGATATTGGCTTTGTACTGTTCAATATTGGCTTTTAAAGCAAATATTTTGCCAGGCCTCACATTGAGAAAATAATAACTTGACTACTGCTCTCTGTCTCTCTGTCTATAGCTCTCTGTCTGTCTTTATTGATGTCTGCATGCTGTAATCTGTCTCATCTCGGCGCATGAGGAAGCAGCGATATCGAGCGTAGAGCGGAGCTCGCGATGCAAGAGTCTCTCGATGCTGAGCAGCTCTACTCGATCTCTCTCTCTCTCTCTTCTCTCTTCTCTCCTCTCGCTCTGCTCTCTCCTCTCTCTCTATTCAGCCACGTAGAGTAGAGAATACACAGCAGGTCTTGTTCTGAACCAATGAAAGAAAGGGAGTGAAAAATGTTTACATTCACTGAGTATCCCTGGAGATGTGTTAACATTTGAATCAATCTGTCTCTCTAACGAGGTGTCCTGAATGGGAGGGAAGAATAGTGGGGTTGTCCTGCTCTGCTTTTCACAGAGAGGGCTGCTGGGCGGTTGCCTGGCTACCCAAACTCCTTGCTCCGGCCAAACTCTACGCCCGCCCACGGACGTTAGTTTCTTCTCCGCAATGAGTCTGGATCTGAGTACCTCCCCTACTATTTCTAGAATGGAAATGCGTTCTAGACCGTTTGATTGGTCCCAGAAACCGATGGGTTGGGCCAGACGTCATTGGCTTTGATACTTTGATTGGTTAGAGATCCAATCGCTGATGACTTTGTTTTGTACATACCCCTCATTTTGACGTCAACACAAACGACTTCAATAATTGCAGTCTCAGACTGAAGTATGTAGCGAATGATAGAGCAGCAGAATAATTCAGTTTGAGTCGTCAGGCAAGCTGGGTGGCTGGTCCCTGGCTTCTCAGAAAGGAAGTCTTTCTGGGCCTTTATCCCTGCTGAAAGACAGATGATGTCAGTGAGTAATGTGGGCAGTGTCCTCTAAGGATGCCAGCCGGGTCACTGCTCACTGGGCTTTCAGCAGAGGGTTTGCTGAGGTAACCTGATCTAATTGGCTTCTAGAATAAGGAATCTCAATACAACAAACATTTCACTCAAAGCATTATCATAACAGTTTACATTTATGTGTTTATGTGTTTATATGTGTTTACATTTATTTGTGCTTCGTGTCTGTGGATGTATGCTGTGTGTACAATGTGTTTAAGTGCCTCAAATCTTTTGCAGTTGTCATTCTGCAGCACTTTCAGATGTGATCAGTAGCATTTTGCTGTCCTTCTTAATGTGTATACAATGTTGGCAGCATTTTGTTTACCGCTGTGTTCCCTCTCTACTGAGTACTTCTTTGAACGCTACCCTCTGGTCCCTCTGACATCTGCTTCATTTCATCTCTCCTCTGAAGCCTCTTACAGATTGGTCTCTGGGAAAAGATCTAAGGTCCTGTCATCCACTTGTAAGAAATATGTGATGGACACTAATGGTTACAAATGAGAATCATGAGTTACATCTGAACCTCATTTTTACCAGGCTCAGAATGAGCCGTGACACCCAATGTCCATTCAGCAGCCTGAATAAGCTTGAGTTACTTTAGGCTTTAGGCTTTTGCAGGGCCTATACAGGTCTATATCCCTCCACCCCATGCCCACCACTAAAGACTACACATTTACCCAAGTACCTAAGCACTACTTGTTGAAACCCTCAGAGGTTAGAGTAGATTGGACAGACTGACTGACATAACCCTGCCAGGCGGTGCAGAGACATGACACTGATCTTGCCATTTAGAACCTGCCAAGCTCAAACCTATGACCAGGGTGTGTCTTGGCCCACGGCCCAATGTGGGTGTTGGGGGTGGGAATGGGGTCCAGGCAGGGCATATGGGGTCAGCACTGCAGAGACCTCGGATGTCCCCTTAAATCTGTCCCATTAAGGAGCCTGTAGCATGACTGGACGACATGGCCGGGACAGGAGTCAGGATAGCAGTCTTGGGAGTCAGTAGTCAGTTATGGTTCTTGATGACCCGCATGCCCTCCTGTCCAGGCTGCTGGTCTGACCCTATCACAGATGAGCATGGGCTCATCACATGATACCTGAGTAATCCCTGCCCTGTCATTCGATGCCCCTGTGTTTGGGACGCCGTTGCTAGGATACGTCCACATAAGGGAAAATAAGTGGAGAGCCCCGATTCAGTGCACCTGGTTTTGAAAAGTGAGACTCATGGATCACATCACTTCCCGTCACCCCTCACCTCTGCCCCCCACCACCTCGGTCGTTCCCACACCCTATGTGCTGCGCTGTGTGTGTGTGTGAATGTACAGTGTATGTATGTTCCTGCGTTGGTGTGTCATTGGAAGCCCGTCACTCTGTCTCTGTAACTCTATATTGGTAGTTGCAGCGTGGCTTAACCTTCATGACAGGCTCTTGTGGAACTGATTTGCACACATAATTGAAAACGCATGTGTGTGAAACTGAGAAGGCTGAGGACGAGTCCGTCCTGACATGAGACTACAGTTGTAGGTTGTCGTCTGTCTGTGTAAAGGGCACCCAGAGGCTCCCCATGGAAATGGTCTGTGTCCCACACACGGGAATGTCTGAACCAGCCCTCTTGTTGGAAACACTCAAGAATGCAGATAGATCATGGTAAAATGATTCAAATACTGTTTTTGAGTGTCTGTAAATTAGGAAATAAACATAACCACAATTTCACAACCTTTAAACTTTCATATGTCTGTGATGATCAGTGAATTGTTTCTTGAAGTTAGGATGATGTGAGTAGCACCTCTGATCCTACCTCTGTCTCCATCTCAGTCTCCAGTTTGCTACATATCCAGGTGCCCTGGTGTCAGAGTATGGGGTATACCCGTGGCTGTGAGTCCAAGCTGGTCACACAGGGATATATTTGGCCCTAGAAACTGTAGACAGTCTGCCAGTCATCTGTTTCCTGCTGGGTCCCTTTGATTCCAGTCAGCTCCTAGGTTACATGAGCCAGCAGTAGACATATTAGAGAGAGAGGCACTCCAGAGCAGCTTGACTGGCTCACCGGGCACAGGACAGTGCCCCTGTTACACCCTGGAACCATGTTCCAGAACCTCCATTTCAGTTTTAGGCTTATCCAAAGCTGGGTTGTTGAGATGTTGGAAATGATAAAAAAACAACAACATCAAATTCACAAACATTAGTGTCCCTACTGGTCAAGGCTAATTAGTGTCCCTACTGGTCTCCCTCTGTATGTACAGGATGTTTTCATTAGGGTCTCCTCTCAGTCCTCAGCCTGCAGCTGCTCTCCACCTCTTCCTTTTCCCACAGTTTGAGCAAATACCTCCTATCAACCTGGGAAACATCACAGCCCACTAAACCTGGGCTATGCTCATGGACTGTGACCATTCTGGTCATGAGTGGGACATTCTCTCACAGTGGCTGGCTGTGTGCATGAAGGATTTGCCTATACATTGTAGGAGGGTGGTGCAAGTCTTCTCAAGTTGGTTTTATTGACAGTAGAAAATGAGATTCCACAGAACTCCAGTATTGTATGTTTTCCAACCCATGACATGATACTCCTTAGTGTTGCTCACTCAACTGTCTTGTTGTGTGCATCATTAAGGAAGGAGGTATTGGCACTGTTCTGTCATTGAAGACTCAGATGCAGATGAACGCTTCACCCGATATGGATGAAAATACCCTCAAATAAAAGCTAACAGTCTGCACTTTAATTTCATAGTCACTGTTTGATTTCAAATCCAAACTTTTGTAATATAGAGCCAAAAAAAGAAAAAAAATGTCACTGTCCCAATAATTACAGAGGGCACTGTAATTCATATCATCGGCCTAATAGTATTGTAGAGCTCTTTTTACTTGCAAACAATATACAGTTGAAGTTGGAAGTTTACATACACTTAGGTTGGAGTCATTAAAACTTGTTTTTCAACCACTCCACAAATGTCTTGTTAACAAACTATAGTTTTGGCAAGTCGGTTAGGACATCTACTTTGTGCATGACACAAGTAATTTTTCCAACAATTGTTTGCAGACAGATTATTTCACTTATAATTCACTGTATCACAATTCCAGTGGGTCAGAAGTTTACATACACTAAGTTGACTGTGCCTTTAAACAGCTTGGGAAATTCCAGAAAATGATGTCATGGCTTTAGAAGCTTCTGATAGGCTAATTGACATCATTTGAGTCAATTGGAGGTGTACCTGTGGATGTATTTCAAGGCCTACTTTCAAACTCAGTGCCTCTCTGCTTGACATCATGGGAAAATCAAAAGAAATCAGCCAAGACCTCAGAAAAAAAATTATAGACCTCCACAAGTCTGGTTCATCTTTGGGAGCAATTTCCAAACGCCTGAAGGTACCACGTTCATCTGTACAAACAATAGTATGCAAGTATAAACACCATGGGACCACACAGCCGTCATACCGCTGAGGAAGGAGACGCGTTCTGTCTCCTAGAGATGAACGTACTTTGGTGTGAAAAGTGCAAATCAATCCCAGAACAACAGCAAAGAACCTTGTGAAGATGCTGGAGGAAACAGGTACAAAAGTATCTATAACCACAGTAAAACAAGTCCTATATCGACATAACCTGAAAGGCCGCTCAGCAAGGAAGAAGCCATTGCTCCAAAACCGCCATAAAAAAGGCCAGACTACGGTTTGCAACTGCACATGGGGACAAAGATTGTACTTTTTGGTGAAATGTCCTCTGGTCTGATGAAACAAAAATAGAACTGTTTGGCCATAATGACCATCGTTATGTTTGGAGGAAAAAGGGGGAGCTTGCAAGCCGAAGAACACCATCCCAACCGTGAAGCACGGGGGTGGTAGCATCATGCTGTGGGGGTGCTTTGCTGCAGGAGGGACTGGTGCACTTCACAAAATAGATGTCATCATGAGGAAGGAAAATTTTGTGGATAATTTGAAGCAACATCTCAACTTGGTCGCA